CTATCTCTCTATCTGTCTGTCTATCTATCTATCTATCTCTCTATCCATCCATCAATCCATCCATCCATCCATCTATCTACCCATCTGTCTATCTATCTACCTACCTACCTACCCATCCACCCACTCATCTATCTATCTATCCATCCATCTCTCCCTCCATCCATGTATTGATCTATCTATCTACCTTCTCTTATAGGGTGGACTGGATGGCCTTTGGGGCCCCTTCCTACTCTAGGATTCGATCTTCCTTCCTTTTTTTCTGTGCCTCTAGCTTTCTATTTTTCTGTCTTCATATCTATCTACCTTTTCTAGAGTCTTTAAAGTTGAGACCAGATGGTCATCTGTTGGGAGGGGTCGGATAGTGCTTTCCTGCATACCAGAATGCCGTCGGATTGGATGGGTGTCTTTTGCTATCCGTGCTTTCTTCCCTTTCCATTCTTGTAGGCGGCCGCCGAGCCGTACGTGCCGCAATCCCCGCACCAATGCCGAAACCCACAAACGGAGCATTATGTTGAAGCCATCAAGAAGTGTTGCCGATCGTGTCCTCCAGGTAATGCAATAATAATAATAATAATAATAATAATAATAATAATTAATATAATAATAATATAATATAATATAATATAATATAATATAATATAATAATTAAATATAATATAATAATGCAATCATATTATTATATAATAATTATATTATTGTATAATAGTATTATATTATATTATAATATAATATATTATATTATAATCCAAATATAATATAATAACTATTTGTAAAACAATACTATTATATAATAATATTATGATATAATAATATGATTGAATTATTATATTATATTTATTGTTATAATATTTATTATTATATTACATTATTGTGCCATAGTCATATTATAATTGTATTTAATATTATATTATATTATATATTTATTATTATGACTGTATTATATTATTAGAAATATGTTTATGGCATTGTTATTATATAATTTATTATATTATAGTAATTATTACATTAGTATATAAACATTAGTATATTATATTATATTTATTATTAATGATATTTATTAATATATTACATTATTGTGCCATAATATTATAATTGTATTTAATATTGTATTATATTATATATTATTATGACTATATTATCTTATTATAAATATGTTTATTGCATTGTTATTATATAATTTATTATATTATAGTAATTATTACATTAGTATATA